GGGGAGACGCGGGACTCCGCCACCTCCACCCCCCGCCCACCCGCCCGTCCACCTTGTCCCTCCACCTGGGCTCCGCCCACCCCTCCATCCCCTCCCTCCACCCCCCCTCGGCCCCAGCGCAGAATTTCCAGAGAGCCCCAGATGCACCCAAAGATCTACGAATTCGCGCGTGTTGCCTCTTTGCTTCACTGTATGCTTCTCTCCTGTATGCATGGCTCGTTCTTGGGACCGTGAACTTCACTCACTTGTCAAGGAAGCTCGCCTGGGCATCGCTTCCTAGCTTTGGGGCCGTTCCTGGTTGGGCTGGTGGGATATACGAAGCGTCAATAACATGAAACCTCATCTATCGGTCTGGTTCGCGGCACCATGACGCACATGCATCTACCACATCGCTCCGTGCTGCAGATGCGAGCAGCCAGTCTTGCTTCAAAGAGTATGCATGCTGCTCGCTTGCCGACCTCACGCCCTTCCCCCCTCGTGTATCAGTGTCTGTCTCACCCCGGGCACGTGCAAAACATTGAACGAGCAACAGAGTGCCCAGTAGAGCACAGGCCAAGGGTGGGAGACAACATCAGCGCACGACATGAACACAATGCAGCCACACAAGCGCGCATGCCTTGGCGGAAGAGAAGTCGGCGACGGCGGCAGGCGAAGGAGCAAGGCACGTAGGACGGATCTAGGAGGGATGGAAATGGGAGAATGGATACATCAGTGGGAGGAGTATATAAGCACGAAACTGTCACCTTCGGGCCACCACAGCCACCCAAGCAATACGGAGCCGCCTCCACTGGCCGCCGCACTACTCTCCAGCACCGCTACGCAGAACTGCCCGGCTTACAAACTTGAGGGAAGAGGCCTCGAGGAGGAGGGAAGAGCATGCAACACACGCCGACTCGTCATCCGTCCTTGCACTCTGTTCCACATCCTCCTGATTCTCCCCAAGCCACTCCTCATTATCATGCCACACCATAATGCATCATCCGCAATGTCGTTCTCATCATGCTCGTCCTCATTATCATCGCCCCCGTTGCCATATCCATTGGCATCACTCTTGCCCTCCCTATCACCATCCCGCGATATCCCCGTCATCCCCTCGTCCCCTCCCCCTCCCCCCTCCCTCACTCCCAGACTCCCCTACTCCCCCACTCCTTCACGATTCGATGGCTCCATCCTGCCTTAAGTCGTCGCACAGGGGACACCGAGTAACAGCAGAAGCTTTATGTTTCGCTAGTCAAACATCCTCATGTTCACCAACATCATCAGCATCAACAACATCGTCAAGATCATCACATCCACCGTCATCGTCATCACCATAATCACCTATAACAGCAAGTGGCCTCATTACCACCACCACCATAATCATAATGATTATCATTATCATCAGCATCATCATCAGCAGCAGCATCATCACAAACATCATCATCATCAGCATCATCATCGTCATCATCGTCATCCTCAGCATCATCATCATCAGCATCATCAGCAGCAGCCGCATTATCATCAGCAGCATCATCATAGTCAGGATCATAGTCAGCAACATCATCATCATCATCATCATCATCATCATCATCATCATCATCATCATCATCATCATCATCATCATCATCATCATCATCATCATCATCATCATCATCATCAAATTAAACTACAGTTGGAAGAGAATAGTGAAGGCGATCGCTCTCCTTTCGAATCGTCTGGGAAAGGTTGCAGAGCAAACCCCTACACCAACACCAGCAGCTGCCGAAGCCGGAGAGGCCCGAACCCAGCGCTCGATCCTCACCCGGACGCAGCAGCTCCTCTAGTGCGACGTGTGTCAATAGTGGTGCAAGGGATGGAGCGGCCTCGCAGGCATCAGGTAATGAGCGTTTTCGTATTCGGCGTTTCGACATTGGGCGGACGGGGAGAGGGGAAGGGGGGGCCTGGCTCTGGACCTCTGCTCAGTGCGCCTGTTTGGAACCGTGCGTCCTGCGGGGGAGACTCCACTTTCTCGAAGCAGGCATCAAAAACACCCAAGATCTACTCAATGGGGGGGGCAAGGGCGGGGGGTACGAGGGCCCGCGCCGATCGGCAAAACAATGAACAGGAAAACGATCACGTACCGAACCCATTGAATAATTGCGCCGGCTCGGGCATGCGGCATGTCGTCCACCTGCCCGGCAGGCGGCAAGGACTCGGCTCTCGACGGCGAGCTGTCCACCACCCACGCTACGGCTCCAAAGATATTGACGTGGCATGAGGTGAGCGCGGGCCGGCTCCGCAGGTACTGACTACCTACCAGACCGCCCCAACCCAACCCGAAGACCCGAATTTGACCAAAATTTCGGGTTGGGGGGGAGGTACGGATTCCATGCGTTTTTAAACGTTCTCGGGCGGGACTTAATGGGGGGGTCATAAACGGGGGGATCAGAAAAGGTCACCTTTCGTGCCCCTTTCGGGCCCCTCCAGAGCCCCAGGGGGTTCGTTTAGGTACCGTTTGGGTACCGTTTCGAACCACCCTCGCCACCCCCTCATTTATGACCCCCCCATTACGCGGCGCCCAAGGTTCCCCGACCCCCCCCCCCACCGGAAGTGGAGGGCAAGTCGAGGGCTTCGGGTTGGGCTGGGGTGGTTTGGTGGGCGGTGAGGTGCGAGGGCTCCCTGACAAAAGGCCGCGGACCAGGCCGATCGCGAGCTGGCACGAGCCGACGCGTCGGCTGGCAGAGGGCGCCTCGCGGCGCGACAGCGGCGGAGGCCACCAGAACCGACGGACTCAACCCGGTGAGGCGCGCGCGGCGGCATCCGCTCGCCAAGCGACGCATATTGTTTTATTCGGATGAAAAGCATACATAATCGGCACGCACGCAGCGCAGCTTGGAGCCCGAGCGCAGTCTGCTTCAAACATACGTTTCGACATTCGGTGACCCACAAGGGTTATTAGAACACCCGCCCCCCCCAATGAGTGAACATTGTTGTTTGTTGGTTCTCTTTTTCCCAACCATCCTGTGGTGTTGGGTCCTCGTTTTGAAGAGACAGCGCCCCGCGTTCTCACTCCTCCATCGCCTCCTCCTCCTCCCGCTGCTCCCTCATCCTCCCTCCTCCATCATCATCATCACCCGTTTCAGCACACCCCTCACACGTTTCGTGGCGCCAGTGGGAGCTCCACCGAAGGCCCCAATGGGACCGCCCGCGTGCGTCACCCCCACCCTGTACAGCGTTTCGTGGGCCCATAGGGAGCTCCACCGAAGGGCCCAAGTGGCACCGCCCGCAATGCGCCACACCCACCCAGTACAGCGTTTCGTGGCCCCATATGCGGGCTCCACCGAAGGCCCCAATGGGACCGCCCGCGTGCGTCACCTCCACCCAGTCCAGCGTTTCGTGGCCCCATCGGGAGCTCCGCCGAAGGCCCCAGTGCTACCGCCCGCATGCGTCACCCACACACATATCGGCACACCCCATTCACACGTTTCGGTACAGCGTTTCGTGGCCCCCTAGGGAGCTCCGCCGAAGCCCCCAGTGGCACCGCCCGCATGCGTCACCCACACCCAGTACAGCGTTTCGTGGCCCCAGAGGGAGCTCCACCGAAGGCCCCAGTGGCACCGCCCGCATGCGTCATCCCCCACCCAGTACAGCGTTTCGTGGCCCCACAGGGAGCTCCACCGAAGGCCGCAGTGGCACCGCTCGCATGTGTCCCCTCCACCCAGTACGACGTTTCGTGGTCCCATAGGGAGCTCCACCGAAGGTCCCAGCTGCACCGCCCGCGTGGCTCCATCGGGAGCTCCACCGAGGGCCCCAGTGGCACCGCCCGCATGCGCCAACCCCACCCAGTACAGCGCTTCGTGGCTCCAGAGGGAGCTCCGCCGAAGTCCTCAGTGGCACCGACCGCATGCGTCATCCCCACCCAGTCCAGCGTTGCATGGCCCCAAAGGGAGCTCCACCGAAGGCCCCAGTGGCACCGCCCGCAATGCGCCACACCCACCCAGTACAGCGCTTCGTGGCCCCCGCCAGAGGGAGCTCCATCGAAGGCCCCAGCGGCACCTCCCACATGCGTCACCCCCCACACAGTGTAGCGCTTCGTGGCCCCATATGGGAGCTCCACCGAAGGCCCCAGTTGCACCGCCCGCATGCGTCAACCCCACCCAGTACAGCGCTTCGTGGCTCCATAGGGAGCTCCACCGAAGTCCTCAGTGGCACCGCCCGCATGCGTCATCCCCCACCCAGTACAACGTTTCGTGGCCTCACAGGGAGCTCCACCGAAGGCCCCAGTGGCACCACCCGCATGCGTCACTCCCCACCCAGAACAGCGTTTTGTGGCCCCATAGGAAGCTCCACCGAAGGCCCCAGTGGCACCGCCCGCATGCGTCACTCCCACCGAGTACAGCGCTTCGTGGCCCCATAGGGAATTCACCGGGAGGCCCCATTGCAGCGTTTCGTGACCCCATAGGAGCTCCAACGAAGGCCCCAATGGCGGTGTTTGCATGCGTTCCCCCCACCCAGCACAGCGCCTCGTGGCCTCATGGCGAGCTGCACTGAAGGCCCTGGTGGCTGTACTCGCATGCGTTTCCCCACCCATTACACTGTTTCGTTGCCCCGTAGGGAGTTCACCGAAGGCCCCAGTGGCGCCCCGCCCCACTGCGGCGCACTCCTCACACTTTTCGCGGCACCGTGGCGGCCCCGCCCCACATCGGCACACCCATCGCGTGAGAAGATCCTCCGAAGGCAATGCCGGCAACGACGGTACTCACAATTGCAAATGGTTCGGTTTTTCGCCAGGATAATGTTCTTCCGCGGCCTTAGTGACGGACTGGTATCCCACCAATAGATGGAAACGAATCATTTTCCCCCCGCGGCGCCCGCCAGCAGCGCTCTTATGGAAAATCTTTGTTCAGACAGTTGGTACTCAGAAGCTGTATCCTGAAAGCTCCATCCTGAGAAGGACTGTTGAAACTCAGGCCCCGCGCGGGACCTCAGAAACTCCAGCCTCTGGCACGTGGGGAATACAATGGAAATGTCCACGTGTTGAACTTATCCAGTAAATCCGGCCTTAGCGTGTTATGGATTGTCCACAGTGGAAGTGACGCCATATTGGCCACGCGCGCCGAACAAGCGCCAGCAGGAGTTCAGCCCGTAGTGCTGGGCAGACGACTTTGAGCATACTCGCGAAACAAAACGAAGCAATTCCCATTGCAATCCTCATGCGAAGATGCTTACATATCCCCCCGCGTGCAGGGTAGCCCACAACATATTATTCCGCTGGGGAAAGGCCCCCCAGGCATTACCCAGCCCGTCCACCAATAGAGGAAAACCAATCTCGGCCGCGACGGGGAGGTTCTAGGACTCGCCGCCGAGAGGCCCGGGGGGGATCAAAACTGAAGACCATTCAGGGCTACTCCTTCATGTATCGCATGTATCGTCATGGTCGCTCGCGTCACGATCAACATTACCATCATCAACACCACCATCACCAGCATCATGATCATCATCATGAGCATCGTCCTCGTTGAAACCATCAGCAACAGTTTTATCATCGTCTTCGTCTTCATCACCCAAGTCAGAATCCACAGATCATTCTGGTCCTCATCCCCATCCTAATCACCAGCACCAGCGTGATGATACTAAGCATCATCATCACCACCACCAACAGCAACATCATCATCATCATCAGCATCCTCATCACCACCACCATCACCAGCATCATCATAATCACCATCAACTAGTAACATCACTATTGTCATCATCATAATCATCATCATCATCATCATCATCATCATCAGCATCATCATCATCATCATCATCATCATGATTTGCATCGTCAGCATCACCATCATCATCATCATCATCATCATCCTCATCATCATAATCATCATCAGCATCACCATCAGCATCATCATCATCCTCGCCCTCATCAAGTTTGCCCATCATCATCTTACCTCATTCGCAACACCACCATGGCCAACCTCGTCACTACCATCACCATCATCATCATCATCATCATCATCATCATCAGCATCATCATCATCATCATCATCATCATCATCATCAACACCATCATCACCATCACCGCTACCATCACCGTCACCATCACCACGCACTCTCACGACAATCATCATCACCAGCACCACCATCATCCGCATCATCACAAGCATCATACTATCTCCAACTTCCTCGTCATTTCTCGCTACGTCCCCCGCCCTCCCTTGCTCCTCCCCTGCCCCATTCCCCTCACCCACCCTCTCGCGAGTGCCTCGTCTGGAGAACAGAAACGAACACCCTCTTAACACGCGCACCGAAAAGCAAAGCCGTTCTGCAAACGCGCGCAAGGAAGGAATCGAGCAGCGCAGGGCTTCACTTAGCGCCCAAGGCCGCTGATTGTGGACGGAGGGTGGCCGAAGCCGGCGTCCCACCAGCCTGGAGAGCACGTGACTGGAAGGAGGAGGGCAAGGACGGGGAACACGTCGAGGAGGGCGAGCGGAAAGGTCGAGGAGGCTGAGGAAAGACCGAGGCAGTTGGGAAGCGGCGTGGACCCAGGGAGAGGGGGGAAGGAGGGGCGGACGGGAGCAAGGGGTCACGGCATGGAGAAGGGAGGGGTTCGGGGTGGGGCGAGGGCGGAGGGGTGGTGGTGGAACTGGCAGGCGAGAGGGTCCAGATCAACCGCCTCTCCTCCACCTCCTCCGCATTGCCATCCTGCCTCATCCTTCGATGCTCGAGACTGCATGCCCTCCCGCCCGCCCTCGTGTTGCACAGCGAGCACTCGGAGTTGTAGCCGGCTTTGTCTGCCTGGGCGGGCGGCGGCGCTGGAACGCGGGCGCGCCTTCCCATGCCCTCACCGCGCAGGTCCTCCCGGCGTCTCGGCGGCGCTGTCGCCGTCCCTCTCCAGCTGCTTCCTCCTGCTTTCTCCTCGTCGTCCTCCTCCCTTCTCCTGTCCCTTCTCCTCGTCCCTGTCCTCCATCCTTCCCCTCCTGCTCCATCCTTCCCCGCCGCTCCATCTTCCTCGCCCCCGTCCTTCCTCGCCTCTTCGTCCTCCTCGTTCCTCACATCCTCCTCCCCTTCCCACCCTGTCCGCCCCTGAGCCAGGTGCACACGAATTGCTGCTGAAGCCCAGCAGGGCGGTCGATCCTCGAGCCTGGCGCCCAAACCTCGATCCTCGACCCTCGGTTTATGTTGTCCCCATCCTGCTTAAAGACTACATCCCGGAAATATTCCGAGCACCCGGACAGGTGTCCAAAGAATGTCGAAACAATGTCAAAACAATGTCGGGCGAATGTCGCCCAGGGCCCGACACGGAAAACCCTTGAATCTCGGTACTTGTTTTGGCGCTCGAATTTATTCCTGGTAATCGAGGCTAAAGTAGTTGGCAGCATCAGAACCCTCGGTCCGAACTTGCGCGGACAAGAGCAGGAGGCGCCGATTAGGCACCAGCGCCCCGCCTGAGACATCCTCAAAATCTGCCGTGTGCTGAGTAACTCAGACTATGAGAAGGTCTGAGTACGGGTAGGTCTGAGTAAGAGTAAGTCATTGTATGAGTACGTCTGGGTATGAGTAAGTCTGAGTATGACTAAGTCTGTGTATGAATAAGCCTGTGTAGGTGTACGTCTGGGTACGAGTAAGTCTGAACATGAGTAGGTCTGAATTTGAGTATGTCTGAGTATGAATAAGTCTGTGTATGAGTAAGTCTGTGTATGAGAAAGTCTGGGTATGAGTAAGTCTGTGTATGATTACGTCTGGGTATGAGTAAGTATGAGTACGAGTAATTATGTGTCTGAGTAAGTATGTCTTCTGGGTGTGATCTTGTTCTCTGGAGTCGGCGGCGTCCAAGAAATAACAAGAATTCCATCTTAGGATATGGGGAACTAACCCTAACCCTAAACCCCCTATAACCCTCACCCCAACCCTAATCTAACCCTACTGCCCTAACCCGAACCCCCCAACTCACAAACCCTAATCCTAACACCCTAACCCTAACCCCCGAACCCAAACCTTAGACCTAACTCGAACCCAAATCCAACAATCCTAAACCTGAACCCCATAACCCCCTGACCCCAGAACCAGAACTCTTACCGCCTCACCCTAACCCTGACCCTAACCCGGACCCCTGTGGCCCTAACCCACTACCCCTAACCCCTACCGGACACACTAAGCCTAACCCTACCACCCCTAACCCTAACCCTACTACCCCAACCCTAATCCCCTAACGCGAACCCTGACCCTACCACGCTAATCCTTAACTTCTAACCTTAACCCTAACCCTCTAACCCGAATCTTAACACCCTAACCCTACCCCCCTCCCAAACCTGCCACCCTAACACAAACTCTCTCGCACCCTAAACCCTAACTCTACCACTCTGACCCTAACCGTAGCACCCTAACCCTGACGCCCTGAACCTAACACCCTAACCCTAATACTCTTATCGGGAGCGGCCAAGAGGGGGCTGTCCAAGAGGGGGGGTGCACATCATGACCAGCGGCATGTGCGCGGCCAGAGGGGGGGCTGGGGACGTAATGAAACAAGACGAGGCGCCATGAAATCTGGGGAGAAATCATGGCCCACGCCATGATATCCCCCCCACCCCTTGTCATCACCCCCCTCTTTGCCGCCCCCGATCTTACCCCAACACAACCACCCAAGCCCTGACCCACACCATCTCCGGCGCGTCACCAGGAAGCGGCAGGCACTCCCCCCGCCCACCCTGTCCGACCCCCCCCCCCTTGAAAAGGGGGGGGGTCCGAAATCCTCCCCCCCCCCACTCCGGCGCAAAGAGGGGGAGGGGGGGGGGTCCTAACCCCCCACCCCCCACTTTGAAAGGATGAGAGGAGGGGGGGTCCGAAAACCCAACCGCCTGGAAAGGGAGGATGGGGAGGGTCCAATTGGCACACGACCATTTCACAATTACGGGGGCACCTAGTGGCGCGCATTCGAAGACATCGACACACACCTCTCCTGATATTTCAGTTTTCGCAGACGTCTCAGGCGAAGGTCTACTTTTCGAAGATCCGACGATAACGCTAACGACTTCACCATCCAAACTTTGTGACGATGTCTCAGGCAATAGACTCCAACGCCTAGATGTTGTGAGGACGTCGCATGCGAAACGCCCACATGTCACACCTTCCCTGGTAGGAACGGGAGGGGCGTGGATGCGAAGCGCCGTGCAAGAGCATGCGTCATCACGATGAACTGTATCTGTACTGTGGGCGAGCTCCCCGAACGTCCTCCTCCTCCTCCTCCTCCTTCTCCCCGAACGTTCACGAGCCTGTTCCTCGTTCTCCTCCTCGCTCTCCTGTACTCCTCCAGGTTCCCTCCGTCTCGCCTCACGCCCATCACCTTTAGCACCATCATCGCCACCCTCACTATCACTCACATCACCATCACAAAATCGTCATCATCGACATCATCACCATCAGCATCACAACCGCCAGCATCATCAGCAGCATCATCGTCATCTTCATCATCAACATGTTCAAAATCATCACCATCATCATCGTCATCGTCATCATACTCAGCATCATAATCACCACCGCCATCATCAGCATCATTATAAGCAGCAATAGCATCAACATCATTATACACGTCATCGTCATCAACACCAACATCATCAGCATCGTCATCAACATCTGATGGTTTCCAAGATCCAACCGAAGGCTGTGCTTGAGGATGACTCGAGAGAACCGCTTACGTGAGAACAAAAGTAATGCAATACGATTGGTTTTCAATGCCTTCGCTTCTGTCAAAGGCGAAAGCGCCATGTTCGAAGATCCGAAAGCTTCGCAAGCGATTTCAACATCTGCATGTTAGAAGAATATCTCGAGCGAGAATTGCATTCTTGACATAAGGGGTGTATAAAGTAGATGGTTCAACATCCCATTGGTTCGCTGAGATCTCGAGCGAGAGCCCCTTTTTCAAAGCAACCGAAGATTACGTCAACAATGTCAACACACACACACATGTTTTCAAGGTGGCTCGCGAGAGACGCTCGTTTTCATCATGCGACGTCTCAATCGATAACCTCCTATATCCCGCGTTCGTGAGGGTGTCTCAGACGAAACGCTTATTCCTCAGATGTCTCGGGAAACGTCGAAGCGCGTGAAAGCGACGAGCTGTACAACACCGTGCAGCATCATCACGATCACCTGTAACGTGGGCGAACCCTCCAAACGACCACAAAGGATACCCGTGGACGCGCGCTCCCCGAACGTTCCCAAGCCTGTTCCTGGAACACCTCCTCGCTCTTCTGTACTCCTCCTGTGTCTTCCGTCTCGCCCTCCCGTACATAATCATCTTTGCCACCATTGTTACCACCACCATCACCAACGACACAATCGCACCCTCATCATCATCATCATCGCCATCATCAGCAGCAGCGTCATCATCAACGGCATCAGCAACAGCATCAACAGAAAAATGAGCCCCAGTATCTAAATCTTCAACGGAATGTGATACGTCCGAAGACCTGCCCGAAGGCATTGCTTTAGAACAGAAGTATCGCAGATCATTCGGTGTTCAATGTGTTCGCATTTTGGGCCATCTTGGGGGTCCTTCAAGAGCGCCCCCAAAAGATGTCGTACAACAGCTACTGGAACATCTGATTTGTTTGAGGGTGGCTCAGGCGAGAGCCCCATGTTCGAAGATACGGAGGTTTGCCAGCGAGTGTAACATCTGCGTGTTGTGAAGATGTCTCAGGCGAAACGATCATGTGTTGCACACTGCGTGTTAGACGATACCTCCAATATCTCGGATTCGTGAGGGCGTCTCAGGCGAAGTGTGTGAAAGCGAAGCGCTGCGCAAGCACGTGCAGCATCATCACGATCACTTGCCGTCGCTCGGTACGTCCATTTCCCGTGCATTTGTCGGTTTCGTGCGTGTTTGTTTCGCCAAATGATCAAGGATGGTCCTCGATGGTCCTCGCCGAGAAAAAATGCACACGTCCGAGCGATGCCAAGATCACATATAATGTGGGCGAGCTCTCCGAATGCCCACCAGGGGTGCCTCTGGACGGGCGCTCCCCGAACGCTCGCAAACCTGTTCGTCGCTCTCCTCCTCACTCTTCTGTGCTCAAATTTCCTCTCGCCCTCACGTGCATCATCATCTTTGTCATCATCATCACCGTCACCATTACCAGCACTACAATCACATCATCATCGTTATCATCATTACCATCATCAGAATCATCGGCAAGAGCAGCATCGCCAGAACCAGCAGCATCAACATCACAATCGTTACCACCGGCGTCGGCAGGAGTATCAGCTTCGGCATCATCAACGGCATCAGCATCAGCATCAGTAAAACTAGAATTATCAGCATCATCATCATCATCATCATCATCATCATCATCATCATCATCATCATCATCATCATCTTTATCAACCCTACATCTTCATCATAATGTGAACTGTCCGAAGACCCGCCCGAAGATATTGATTGAGGATTTCTCGAGCGAAACGCTGACTTTGGAACAGCAGTATTGCAAAACCACTGGGCGTTCACTGCGCTCGCGTCTTGGGCTATCTTGGGGGCCCTCCTAGAGCGTCCCCAAAAGAATGTCGTGCAACAGCTACTGGAACATCTGGTTTGTTTGAGGGTGTCTCAGACAAACGCGCCGTTCTCGCTCCGGCTCCGCCTTACTCCTCCCTGCTCCTCCGCCTCCTGCCGGGTCCTCCCTCCCCCCCTCTTGTCCGCATCCCCCTCAGGCACTGAGTGGAGTCGTCGACTCCCTTCGAGTTCTCTGCGCTGAGCATTGTGAATTTGATTCGGGGAGCCCGGGGCCCGGATTCTCGGCTTCCAGACGCTCTCTCGGGGGGCAGGTTGGCATTCCGCAACTCTTTGAAGCCGCCCGAGCTGGTCCCGGGGATCCTCAACGGAGCCCTCCTGGGCGCCACTCGGGCTCCCCGAAGGGGCCCCCAGGAGACCTCCCAAAAGCCTCCCAAGAGAGGCATCCCAAAGGCACCTGGCCCAGGATCCAGGCACAGTGGAGGGCTGGGCGAAAAAGCCACTAGATAACTCCTCCTCGTCGCAGCTCCAGACGTGCTGGTTGGGTGTCACGCACGAGACTTCCTCACCGCATCTGAAGCATGAAACTGGAATTGTCCAACGAATACACTGATGGAAGGCGGGCCGCGTTACCGGTTGCGACCGCCATAGCTACTCGCAAATTCGTCCGAAGGACTTCCAACTGTTACAGGGATGGGGGGGCTATGTTCAGAATGTCGCTCTCGCTTCGCGCGCTTACTCTGGTCCCCCTCATCCTCCTCCCTTCGCCTCCAGAGGCCATCCGAAGCCTACGGAAGACCCCTTGAGGGCGTTGCTTCAGGGGGGGGGAATAAACAGGGGTGGAAGAAGCTTCCACCTTCAAGAGGGCCCCCGAGACCCTTGGAACCCTGGAGCCCTCCGCCCCTTCGTCGCCCAGCAGGTCTAAGATCCTAGTTTCTGGCAAAACTAGACAAGCGCGTTCCACTACTCAGACTACTCGCAAAGTAGATACTCGCAAATGGCCTGGATCAAAACCCAGGGGACTTACTATACTTCAGACACAGGCAGACGTATGGTTTTTCGGACGTTTGCGAGTAGGCACTTGGCGAGCAGTGGAACGCGCTCGGCGAAAAAGTGTTTGAGACCCGACGAGATGCTGATGTTCGAATACGGGTTTGTCAGAACTGGCTGGCCAACTGTCTGCACCCTGCGGCCGTGCTCTTTGAGCTTTATGAACTTCCCTACGACGACACGCCCGACCGTTCTGCTGCGCCGCCTCCCCGAGAAGGAGGCGGGCGCTGCGGGAACAAACAACGACATAAACATCAAAACTCGGAGGTCCACGTGGATTATCTCGGATGGGCGCTGGACCCGACTCCCTGTCGCGGGGAGCGCGCCAAGGGCGGCGCCCCAGGCGCCGTCGAGGGGGCCCCAGCGCCGATCCGCGGAATCCGCGCGGACCTCCAAGGTCCTATGCATAGACGCCACGAAAGAAACTATACGCCGACACCCTCAGACGAACTTTGCACGCACCTTTGGGCAGGGCGGCGGTGTACAAAGTCGCTGGCTCCCAGGTGGTGCTCCCACACCGCCGCCCTCCCCCGAGGCCCAGGAACCATCCACTGCAGGGCGTCGATGTGTTGTTTTGTTCTGTTGCGGAGCTCGCTCATGCCTGAAGGGGCCCTGGGACACACAAACAAATACACACAAATAAAAGGATCCCGCATATTTTCAATTTTTTTCCAGGTTTTCGTCTTCCCCACCACTTCCCCATATTTTCCCATAGTTTCTTGGGGATCGACGATTCGTTGTGTCTGTGTGCTTTTTCCCCTCCTGAATGCCACACCGCCGCCCTCCCCCGAGGCCCAGGAACAGTCCACTGCAGGGTGTCGATGGTTTTTTTTTGTTGCCTTGCTGCGGAGCTCGCTCCTGCCCCTGCCTGCTCCCCCTGGCCGGGGGGCTCGCCAGACCGCAGCCCCCGGGGCAGTTGACGGGCACCGACGCGACCAGCGCCCTCTTCTCCGCCACCTCGCGGCCGCCGCTCGGGGCCGCGGCCGGAGGCACCACTCGGCGGCCCGCGGCTCGGCCAGGGCGCCCTCCCCCGGGCTGAGCGGCGGCGTTCTGCTGCGGTCGCCTGTCCCTTCGGACGCGTGTCCGAGCGCGCTCAGAGGCCTCCGATGGCGTGCGGCGGTCTTCGGAAGCTGCCGGGAAGTAGGGGCGAGGAGGAGGAGGAGGAGGAGGAGGAGGAAAAGGAGGAGGAAAATAGGAGGAGGAGGAGGAAGAGGAGGAGAGACATGGAGGCTTCCAGACGAGAAGGAGGGGGAGCGCGATGTACCGTCGCTTGACTGGACCCCCCCCCTCCTCGGGGAACCGGGGGGAGGGGGGGCAAACTGGCGCTTCCCCTCCCTCGTCGCATGCTCCTTCCCCTCCATCTCCCAAGTCCCTCCCCGCTCTGTCCCCCTGACCTTCAACCTCCCGCTGTCCGCCACCGTGCCTCTGGCACGAAGCGGAGTGCCAAAAGGCACATGCAGCACTGAGAGGCAGAGGCGGCGATGCGGCTGCGGTCAGAATCGTGAGTCTTTCAGGGCCTGGACCAGTCCACTGGCCATCGCTCGGGCGTTCATTCCCTGTGCTTTTTTCGGTTTCGTGCGCGGTTTTTCGCCAAATGATCAAGGATGCTCCTCGATGGTCCTCGCCGAAGGAAAAATGCACACGTCCGAGCGATGCCAAGAGTCCAGTCGATTCCCAGGCCGTCTCGGGCCGCCCTGGGGACCCCCCACCCCTTGCCTGGAAACCAGGGGGAGAGGCACGGAAGACCCACCCCCCCACCCAACCCGGTTCGAACCAAGGCAAGCCAGGGAGCCTCACAGACCCACCCCCCGTGCTCGAACCGGGGGGGGGGGAACGAGTCCCTCCCAAGCCTAAATTCGAAACGACGTTGAGCTTTGTGTGAGCTGCGTTTGAACTTCATGTTTGTTTGAACTTTGTTGGAGCTGTGCTGGAGCTTTGCTTGAGCTTTGTTGGAGCTGTGTTGGAGCTTTATTGGAGCGTTGTTGGAGCTTGGTCGGAGATTTGAGTGAGCTTTGTTTGAACTTTACTGGAGCTTTGTGTGAGCTTTGTTTGAGTGTCGTTCGAGCTTGATTGGAATTTTGGTTGAGCTTCGTTGGTGCTGTCTTTGAGCCGTGATTGAGCTTTTGTGGGAGCACTGCTCGAGCTTTGCTTGAGCTTCGTATGAGCTTTGTTTGAGCTGTGGTTGAGCTGTGCCTGAGCTTTGTTGGAGCTTTATTGGATCCTTGTTTACGCAAGCTTTGAATGAGCTTTGCTGGATCGTTATGTGAGCTGTGTTTGTACTCTGTTTGAGCTTCGCTTGCTCTTTGTGTGAGCTGTGGTTGAGCTTTTGTTGAAAATTGCTTGCGCTTTGTGTGAGCTTTCTTCGAGCTTTGCTGGAGCGTTGTTGGAGCTTTGGTTGGGCTGTCTATGAGCTTCGTTCAGGCTTTCATCGAGCAGTGTTTGAACTGTGTGTGATGTTGGCTGTATATGTGTTTGAGCTTTGTTGGAGCTCTGCTTCAGATGTGTTCGAAATGTGTTGGAGCTTTGTTTGAGCTGTGTGTGTGAGCTTTATTTGAGCTTCGGTTGAACTCTGGTTGAGCTTTATTTGAGCTCTGGTTGAGCTTTGATTGAGCTTGTTGAGCCATTCTGCCCTCTCTTCAGGTTCGAATTTTCGCAGGGGAGGAGGCCGTCCCCTACGGTCTCAACCCGGGGGAGGGGGTGGGATTCCCCTCCTCCCCCTGGTTCGGAAAGGGGGAAGCTGTTTCCCCCCCCCAATTCGAACCGGGGGGGGGAGCTTGTGGCCAGTAGCGGCAGAAAGCGCTCTGTCACAAAAAGCTTACGGGTGTCGAATGGTCCTGCGCAGAAAGGGAAGGAACAGGAAGGGGAAGGAGAACCGAGGGGGACCGAGGAAAGGAGTAGGAGGAGGAACAGAAGGAACGCCAGGAGGTGCAGGAAGGAAGATGACGCCGACCCGACAGTACCCCTGCCCCATCATCTTTCCCTGCGTCCCACCCTTCCTTCGCTTCTGTCCCCCCTGCTCACCTCTCTCACTCCACTTCCCGCCCCCTCCCTATCCCACTGCTTGCCACATTCCATCATCAGCAACGCTTGAACTCATCTGTCGCCATCGTCGTCGCCATCGTCGTCATGGCTGGCGCTGTCGTCGTAGCGTAGTCGTCACAATCACGCGCCCGCTCGAAAGAATGCAAGTGATAGACTAATCGCTTGCACGGCAATTTCGCTCGATGCCACTCTCTTATGCAATCTCCCCTATCCTCCCAGCCACCCGCATGAACTTACAATGGACTCGCAACTGTGAATTGTACTTGTGCTTGTGCTTGTAGTCCGAGATGTCCAGGGGCCACCAAGAGTTATCGTATTCCATCATCTCGGCCACCTGTGCTCGAGGAGAAATTGGGATGAGCTATTACAGGTTTAAAACGTGCGTGAGTACATGCAATCCTGTGGAATCTCGGACTCGCTGTAGATGGCAACTGCAACGACAGGTACGATCCTGGACCGCTCGCTGATAATGGCCTTGGATCTCGCCGCCGCGCGATCAAGCACATCCTGCCTGAACCCACGCTTTCAAAACTAACTCCACATTCTGAGCCTGTCCGCTTTATTGTGCTGCCTTCGGCCACTGCCAATCGACGTGCGGAGGAAGAGGATGAGAAAGACAAGGCGGACCACGACAACGGCGAGGTGGCCAATGGCGTCGAATCGACAGCGACTCCCGTCATGCGACCGCGGCGCATCCACAGCGCTGCCCAGACCTGAGGTCTGGCAGAGACCCTGGTGCAGGAGCAGGGAGCAGGGAGCAAGATCGGAGGAGGAGATCGCTTCGGCGCCGTAGGATACCATCCCTCACAACTTTGAAAAGAAAGAGGGAAGCCAAACATGGGCCGTGAGGCGCCCTGAGATACCGCCGCTTAATTTCGCTTCGGACCGCCGTGGGTCGCCGCTGAAGCGGCAACGTCCGCTCACAATCTGGACGTCCAAAACGGAAGGCGCATCTGGGGAGTTCCCACAGGGTGGGACGTAAGAGCATCAAGCAAGACGGGATAACGATCACTTCTCCGAATCTGCCAGCAGATATGACGGCCTGCGAACATGCCCTCACATCGATCTCGCCTTCTGTTCGTGCGTCTCTTCTTCAGGGTCCTTGACGGCAAATGCTCAGGCATATCCGTCCGCCGCGCCTCTATCGAGAGGTTGGATGCGTGTGGCTTCACTGCATCGAAGGACGACTCGCATGCCCAGTCCTCTGTCGATTCCACGGCGGTCTCGCGCTGGCCCCCTTCGTCAACAGGCGCTCCACCGTTTTCGGTGGGCCGCAGGATCACTCGATCTGTCATCTGCTGTGTGTTGCCAACCCCGCCCACTCCTGAACTGGACTTCGGTCGGGCGTGTCCCCCTACAGGCGGATGCTGGACGACACATAACAAATAGACAAAAAATGCCCAAACCATGTTCAACAATACTCAACAGATCCTCCTGTAGAGGGACAGGCCCGACTTAAAACTGGACGCATGAAAGATGCGTGGCGTAGAGCACGTACAGGATGCAACGTCTGGACCTCTTGTCGCGCCACTTCTCTCGCTGCGCGTGCGCAAACTGAAGAACTAATCGTGGGCCAATGCAGAGGATACGGAATGAACAGCTTCCGATGCGGACGGCCGACGCAACGCCTGCCCGAGATACCAGCTTGTACTACAACCTGCAGTTCTATCTTGTCACCCATGCCTTCTTGTGAAGCACAGAGCCTGTCAGCATGTCGATTCAGCCAGGTATGTGCATGATTCGTTTGCGAGTTTGGAACACACCAACAGAATACGAGCCCCAACTTGAAAGTGCGAGCAATTCATGGGGTGACAATATCATCACCAATATCGCCGCAAAGTTCTATACTTATCTCGCGCGAGGTAGTTGTTATGGGTGGAAGGTTGGTTTAGATTCGATTATTGTCTTGAGCCATGTGGGCGCTGAAAACTACTTGTATGTAGACAATGGCGTACAGCAAATTCAAGCAACAGTGCATGGACAAACAAAACCCAAGGCAGATGATGGGAGAGAGTGCCAAGCCAAGCGGACAAGACAAACAAGAAACTGCATAGGTCTCCATCCAAAAAAGAGGGGTGACCAACAGAGAGCGAATGTGCGACTGTTGCGCGCCTCGGGCAGCAGCGGCTGCCGTGAGGGACAGCACGCATGACGGTGCTGCGAAGGGTGGGACCACGAACGCGTGCCAACCCACCCGCACCCCAACAGTGGTCAATCTTGGGGGCGCGCAAGCATGGATCGGGGGAGGTGCACATGCGGCCGGTGCCGCTCTGCTCGGCGGCGGGAATCCGCGATTCACCACGGCATGGGGACCCGTCGCTGATCCACGCCCCCTTGATCCATGTTTGGGTTTCCGCCTGCCTCCGAAAGAGGAGGGAAGAGGGAAATCCACTCGACTCTTGAAGTAGGAAGGCGGCTAGAATAGATTGGGAACTGGGAGTCCCAAAATACCCACTTTCAACGACCGATGGGTACAGAGAGCAGGGGGAGCCAACGGTAAGCAACGGGACAGATCCACGGCGCCGCGAGGAGATCTGTGGACTCGGCGGCGGCCACTGCACGCCTGCTCGCCAGCCCTCCTCCCGCCATTCGTCGTCTTCCTCCTTGTTCCGCATCCCCCCCCCGCCCCCGACTGGATGCCTCCCTCCGCCCCCGCGTCCCGTCCCTCGTCCCCCGCTTTTCCGCTCTCCTCCTTCCCAGCACCCCCCCCTCCTCCGTCTTGCGCCTCCCCTTCCGCCTCCTCTGGGCAATCATCCGCCTGATCCTCCTCCTCCTCCTCCTCCTCCTCCTCCCCTTTTCTGTGCTTGTTTTCTTGCTCTGCTTTTCTTCTCCCACGTTCTGTGTTTGTGTTGTTGATATTAGTCTCCCACGTTAAGTTCTTGTTTTTGTTCTCTTGCTCTGTGTTTGGTCCCCTCCTCTCGGGCCGGGCAGAGGGGCGGGATAGCAAAGGGGGGGGGCGAGAATCAACTCACGTAGCTGGTTCTCCTGGCGCCTCCCGGCGCCGGGAGGCGCCCATGTATTGAGGAGTGGGCCCGGCGGCGGGGCCGAAACGGGCTGCATGCAGCAGATTTCGTTACACTCCCTTTCCCTATCCCCCCCTTTCGCTGGGCCCGATCCTCCACCTTTTTTCTGTGTTTGTTTTGTTGTTCTTCTTTCCTTCTCCCACGGTTTGTGTTCGCGTTGTTGTTTTCCTTCTCCCACGTTATGTTTTTGCTCTTGCTTTCTTGCTCGGTGTTTGGTCCCCCCCCTCCTCCGTCTTGCGCCTCCCCTTCCGCCTCCTCGGGGCAATCATCCGCCTGATACCCCTCCTCCTCCTCCTCCTCCTCCTCCTCCTCCTCCTCCTCCTCCTCAGTTCTCAGTTCTCAGTTGCCGTCTGGCCAGCATGCAAGCTAAGCACACTTGCCAGGGCGCGAAAGGCGGCAGCCTGGGATCAGTCCGACCCCGATCCCGCGCCATCACACCCCACCCAAAGCTGGAGAGTGGCTCAGGCGCCTCCTCCTCATCCTCCTCCTCCTCGGCCTCCTTTTTTCTGTGCCTGTTTTCTTGCTCTGCGCTCCCTTCCCCGTCCCCTCCTCCGCCTCCTCCTCCTCCTCCTCCTCCTCCTCCTCCTCCTCCTCCTCCTCCTCCCTTCCCCGCCCCCTCCTCCGCCTCCTGCTCGGGCCCCCCCCCCCCGGCCCCCGGCCGGACGACGACGACGAGCGGCCGGCGGGGCGCCGCCGTGGGACACCTCCGCACGTCCTCCCGCGGGGCGGGGGGGGGGAGCCCGCGGGCGGCAGCGCGAGGAGCGCGAGGAGCAGAGGGCCGAAGAGTTATAGTTAAGTCGGGCCTGTCCCCCGACAGGGGATTTTCGACGACAAATAAAAATATCCCCAAAAATGATCAAACAAGATAATCCAAAGATAGTCTGGGGACTAGTTTTGAATATGTTTTTTTTTAACCTTTTTGGGACATCCTTGGGGCATTTTTTATTTGTCGTCGAAAATCCCCCTGTAGGGGGACAGGCCCGACATAAAAATACAGCGCGGGCGCGGCCGCAAGAGACCCTCGCAAATAAAAACAACCCTGAAAACCCGCGCGCGAGGTGCAACAGAGGGGAAGCCCGGAGCACCCCGAGCGCAGCAGCTCCCTCAAACGGCCGAGGGAGCTCACCGCGCATCGCGCGGAGCGAAGAAACCCAGGGTGCCCTGACGAAAAGTAGATGGTTTCTTGAGGGGCGCGCCCCCACTGTAGGTCGGGCCTGTCCCTCTACAGGGGAATCCATTCCAAAACAGCCCAAAAATAGTATGGGGACTATGTTGTGTGTGTATGTTTGGGCATCTTTTGAACATTTTTGGGATATGTTGTTTTTGTTTCGTCCAAAATCCCTCTGTATGGGGGACAGGCCCGTCCTAACAGAAGGGCAGAAGGTCCGCCCCGAGAAGACCCCACCCCGACGCGCGAGGCCGCTCCGCAGACGCGCCCGGAGCAGGAGTCGGACAGGGCAGGGACGTTCAGCACACGCCCAGGGCCGTTTATTGTCGGGGAGACGTAAGACCCGGGTACGGGGGACTCGGAAATCCCCGACGAGGTCGTCAAAAAAATGACGAGGCCGAGCCTGCATTTTGACGAGGCCTCCCGCTGCAGACATCCCACGAAACTCCTCCTCGTCAAAATCCGAGTCGCGGTCGTCAAAAAACGATGGCGAACCCGAGTCCCGGCAAACCCGGGTCTTACGCTCCCCCGAAAGGGGGTAGGGGGAGGGGGGAGGGCTTCTTAGAAGGAGGCTGCTTCCTAGAAGGCGCCAGCCTTACAACTCTATGGATAAGGCCCGCGCCTTTTAAGAAGCAGGGGTCCTTCTGAGAAGCTCTCCCCCCTCCCCCCAACCCCCTCTGCGCGTGGCCGAGTTTAGGAAACGCCAATTGTCCGGTCCCGGTGGTTTTTCCTCTCTTGAGACGATCAAGCACCGGTCTTGCGCGAGGTGGCACAGCGACCTCACGCGGTGGCTTACGCGGGCCGCCCGCGCGGCACGCCGCATCTGAAGCGAGGGCGCTCACGCGCGACCTGACGCGCAGAGCTTGCGCGCCAGTGTCGGCGCAGACGATCCCGTTTGTTTGCGTCGCTCATGTGGGGCCCGCTCTTGAACAGGAACGTACCGTAGACAGATGTACCTTTCCTCTGGACTCGCACCGCGCCGAACGCAATGGCCACGTAGTCCACGGACGTATCCACCCTGGAAGTGTCAATGGACTTCACGGCACCCAATGTGTCCATAGACGATTTTGGCTAGGACGTGAGAACGGTATTTGGCATCAGCCCCAGATGTTGGTTTTCTAGAAGCCCTCCAAGATGAGGGATACGATCATGGAAGACAAGGGGTATAACATACATGCAGAGAAGGAGAAACATATATATATATATATATATAGAGAGAGAGAGAGAGAGAGAGAGAGAGAGAGAGAGAGAGAGAGAGAGAGAGAGAGAGAGAGACAGGGAAAGAAGACAGAGAGGCAGACAGAGAGAGAGGGAAGGAGAGGCGAGAGAGACGGACGAGAAAGAATTGGAGGAATGGGTGGAGGAAAACGGGGCACGAGGAGGGGCCCCGTTCGTGTCCTCGCAAATCGGCGGCTCCCAACCACGCCTGGGGATCGGCATGGCAAGCCTGGGGGGGGGGCGAACGCCTGGGGATCGGGATGGCGGGCCCCGGGGGATCCTGCGACCGAGCGATGGAAACCCAACCTGGGCAGGGAGGGCTCCACGCAGTTTTTTGGTCTGCGGGTCGATAGCGGGCCTCTTCCGGTTAAGAACTAGGCGGGGCGCGCAAAGCACTAATTGAGGAGACAGGGCGCGGGCGGGCGGGGAGAACTCCATGCAGGAACTGTGCTTGTCTGCGTCACTGGCTGCGGCGGGGCCGCCCCGCGGGCGGCGCGCGTCGGCGACTGGCCGGGCACGTCCTTGCGAGCGCCCGCTTCCCCGTGGAACGCCGCGACGCACCCCCTGGGGCATGTCGCGTCGCCTGGTCGCACTACATAGGGATGGCGTGCCGCTGGGGCGAGCAAGGCCGAAGGGCCCCTATGACGAGAAGGGCGGATGACGGAGGGAGGGAGGGAGGGGGGGGGGGGGGGGTGGGGGGGGGGGGGGGGGGGGGGGGGGGGAGGGACGGAAGGAGGGAGAGGAGGAGGACAAGGAGGAGGAGGACGAGGAGGAGGCGGATGATGCTGAGGAGGAGGAGGAGGAGGGGGGAGGGAGGAGGAGGAGGAGGAGGAGGAGGAGGAGAAGGAGGAGGAGTACACAGCCCAAGAGGACGACCGACGAAGCGAGACGACGGGCCCCCTCCGGTGCTCAGCCTGCAGCGGCACAGACATCAGAGAAAAGACGCGGGGCCCGCCTGCGCAGCTGGCGGATGCGCGCCGCGCCGAAGCTGTGGAACCGCGCCCGCTCCGCGAGCGGGTTCGTCCGAGGCCAGCGTTTTAATTCGCGAAAGGCAGTGCAGCATATATCAAGATAAAGAGCAACAGAGATGCGCTGAATATTGCAGAAAGGCAACAAGCTGAACACCGACGCACGCGCACCCGCTGTACGAGTACGGAAGTCGGGAGGAAGATTGGGAAGCAACGACATGATATGAGACGTGCACGCACAAACTAGAGTGCGAAGCATACTACCTGAACTGGCTTGGTGACAAAAACGGCACGGCTCGGTGGCACCACGATAACGATGGGTGGTGCACCAGGCGTTGCATATCGCGCGGGCGACACTGCTGGCCACGCACGTGGGAGCTAAGCGAGAGACGCGCTTCAAGGCTAGATACATGAGGTCGAGCTGGTCAGGGGTGGGAACTACACCGGACTTGCTCAGATGATCACGCAGGACAGAGCGGAGGGGGAAAGGAGAGAGGGCACACAGGGCGGACTCAGAGCGACTCTGAAATCTAGATGTTCCGAAAGAGGGCATGGTCGGGATCTCAGACAGGGCGTTGTAGTTGGAGATGAGATGGAAGATGGAGGACCCCTGATACACTGCATTTCTTTGCCAACCAAAGAGAGAATAATCGTCTTCGCTCTCGAGGTCTGTTTTGGCCTGGAAGAACGCCGCGGACATGACTGCGGTGCGGCGCATGGCAGCTCGAGCCGCTGGCGCCAGAGCCCTGGCCTGCATCGGGAAGCCCCACGCTTTGAGATTCTGAAGGGTCCCCTGGGACAAGCTATTGTTCGGGGCGTTCGTCAGACTCAGCTGGGCTCTTCTCGCGGCAGTGAACGCTGCCTTCGGAGGCGGGTAGAACAGCATCGCATGCGAGAGGGCCGAGAAGGAGGGCAGGTTGAAGCACGCGATGGACTTGCAACGACCGAGACCGAGACTGTTAACATCACGAGCTCGAGAAATGCATGTCATGGAAGGGGCCAGCCAAGAAAGATCACGCCCGCCGCTTCCCAAGAAAATCCCCAAGTACTTCCCAAGACGCTCGGAGTTGAGGCTGTCTGGGCAGCCTCCTATCTCGCGCATGAGCTGCTGGCGTTCGCCGGCGCTGAGGCTGCCGAGGGCCACGGTAATCGTCTTAGCGAGATGGGCGTGCAGACCAGCAGCTGCGCCAGCAAGTTGCCAGCACGGAATCAGAGCTTTAAAGGTCTTGAAGATGTTCGCGGCAGCGACGCCGACGTCGTCTGCAAACGCGGTCAGCCAAGACATGCCTCTGGGAATCCTCGTAAGCATGTAGCGTAACATCGGATCGAAGACGATGCAGAATATGCTTCCTGCAAGCGGGCAGCCCTGTTTGATTCCTCGGGAAGCCAGGAAAGAATGCCCATTGATCCCACAGAAATTGATTTCGATAACGTCGGTGTAGAGGGCCTGGATACACCTTGGGATGTTAGACGGGAGTCCCATACAGGCTAAGACCCAGAAGATCATATCATGCAAGAGGCCGCCTTCGCATACCACGTTGCGGCTCGACTCTCAAGGTCGATGATGTTTTCACCCATGAACCCCCCAGGAATAAAACCCCGCTGGTTAGCCAGACAAGTTGGGAGGGAATCTGAGATAGAGGTCTATTGATGGCGGGAGAGATGAGCTTGTTGTCGGAGTTGGAGAGGGGAATAGGTCTAGTAGTTTCAGGCTTGGCAATGTTCTGGGAGGGCGTGTCATCTGGGTCGCTACCCTTGGCAAAGAAAACGGCCATGCCCCGATGAAACTTCGGCGGGAGGTAGCCCTGCTCGAGCAGGACGGAGTAGAGAGCGCACAAGGAGTCGACAACTGCTGCACCACCTTTTGCGTAGCATGCATGGGGAATGCCGTCGGGCCCAGGGCGCGAATCCCCAGTCCGAGAAATCAGCTCCTCAAATTCCATGCGCTCCAGCTTCGAGAAGATGTTTGGGGGGCAGGGCTGAACAAACTCCTGCAGCTGCTGTCGGTCTTCGACGGAGCCTGGGATACCTTGATGAACCTTGCTCCAGTGAGAGGCAAGGTGCATTGCAACCTGATCTGGCTCGGCGATGGCCTTGCCAGTCGGGTTGGACACGCCAGCGAGAGCAATCCCGCGGTGCTTCCGCCCCCACGCAGACTGATATCTGTAAAGCTTTATCTTGGCTTCTTGCTTGCGCTGATCGGATATCGGCTGCTGCTCTACATCGCTCAGCTGCAGCTGGATATGCTCATTCTTGAGATCAGCCAAGTGGGAGTGAAACGCGCGCATATCTATCCAAAGGCCAGACTGCGGGCAGAGAAACTTGGCGAGCAGCGGGCACACTCGAAGGGCCTCGCCGACCAGCCACAAAAGACCGCGAAGAGTGCCTCGCAGAGCTGAGAGAGACCATGCTATCTTTTCCTCGACGGATTTGTCGGCCTGCTCGATGCTATGCTGGAGGACATTCTCACTTGCCTGAACTAGGATATCTTTCATCTGAGTGCGGTGCATGGTGGGATCGATGTCGAGCGGGCCAACAGCGTCGAGCAGTTCCTGAACACAGATCGGGTAGTGCACGTGCTTGGGGACCCACGCGGGAACTCTGAAGCCCATCTTGCCACCGGGGGAAAATGTGAGGCACGCCGGTGCGTGATCAGAAAGCTGACCTACTTTCGAGATCGGGAGGGGGGTGCGAGACTTGGGGTGGAGCTCGAGGAGAACAGCGCTGTAGATGTTTGTGTATATTCGGTCGATGCGGCTCGTGCTCAAGATCTTCTGGACTACCTCGACCTCCTGAGTGACCCTATGCGTGAAAGACGTCTGCTCGACTTCACACAAGTCTCCGAAGTGCTGAGAGAAGAAAGCAGCAGCATCGTTGCTGGAATAATTGACAACGACACTGACGTGGAACGAGCCTTCGCCTTGACTGGGGAAATTGAAGCCCCCGAGCACAAAACTAGCAGCAGCTTGAGCTGGATGGAGAGAACGACGGAGAACCATGAGCTGACGTTTCTGTTCGCTGAGAGGGAGAGCAGGATCACGATGGATGTTGGAGAGTTGGAGAGTACCTCTGCGACCAACAAAAGTAAGAGATTGGATGCGACCCTTGACTAATTCGACGCACCTGCAGTATTTGAAATCGTCGCGGAGCGACGGGTGCAGAAAGATAATGACTCCTCTAGCAACCCTATCTCAAAAGAAAGACCCACTTCCACATGAGTCGTAAACTTCTGAGCAGACTCTCTGAAGAAGGTTACTAGGCGTGAAAGTTTGCTCCGGGCGGTCTCCAGACATGCAGTGCCCGAGCGAACGAGCGTTCCAGGAAACAAAACTGATATGTGTCTTCACAATGCATGGTGGGTGTGTCCAGGATCCAGGAATAAGGCGGAAAGGCTCAGGCCCAGCCGAAGACGGGAACCTCGAGGTCCCAGACGGCGTGGAAGACCCAGGCGAGGAAGAGGAATAAACAGAGGACGCGGTAGAGCAAGAGCTCGACACAGAAGCTACAATGCATGGCTGATATGGAACCCGCATACCAGGCGCCCCTGACGAATATGTAATCCCCGATCGATACGGCGTGGGAGACCCCTAGCTTGAACGCGCTGTCGCAATGATGGAGTTCGCTTGCTCGGGCGAGATGTTGACCTGGGCGATGCCGTCGGCGGAGGAGATGATCTCGCACTGGCCATAGTCACCTTCCTTGACTGAGATGAGCTCATGGACGATCTCACCGACAGCAATGAAGAGGATGCCCCTGAAGCCGTTGACTCCAAGATTGAGCCGCTGCTCGTTCCACGTGCCTGCTTGACGTAGGTGGGTGTTGACTGCTTGCCAGATCTTTCCAAGGACTTGGTTCTTCTGCCTGACCGAGCTCGGCGCGTCATTCCTGCAACGGAGGGGATGGTTGGTAACAGAAGCGCTGTCTTGCCAAAGGATGCCATGGGCCCTGCCATGGTCAACAAACGAGGAGGCGTCGAGAGAGCTGTTGAACGTGATCGAGTAGCTCTTGGCGAGGTTGTGGGCTTTGATGCTCACTCCTGCCTGGCGGATGTGTGTAGGTAGTAGAGCAAGTAGCGTACGTCCGTGAGCCTCCATGGTGGTTGCCAGCACCGGTCGCGTGAATCCTCCGATCCACACCTTGCACGGATCATGCTCATCTCCCACGCGTGAGTTGACATGACTCGGTCGCGCAGACAACCTCCGACGCGAGGCGGGTGAGCCCAGCGAAGAATCACCAGCTGAACTCTGCGACGATGATGTCTCAATAGTAGCAGCGACTCGGCTCTCCAGGTCAGTACGAAGGGCGGCGAGAGCCCCTGCCTCTGAAGACGCACGCATGTTCGCTTCGAGCACGCCGATTCGCCTGTTGATGCCTTGCATGGCGGTCTCCTGGGCGGACAGCGAGACGCGAAGTTCGTTGATGCCAGGGAGCGCGGACTCAATGTTGGTCAAGCGGCCTGTGATCCCTCCAAGCTTCTCGAGTATCTGAGTGATACCCCCACCGACTTCAGGCATGGCGGCGAGCGAGAATGAGAGATCTGCCGACTGCTCGGGCACGAGCTCGCCAGCAGGGGAAGTGACCGCCTGGACTTGACTCCAGGATAGCCTCGAAAGAGAGGCTGCCTCACTCAAATGGGGCCTGTCCCCACCTTGAGCCAAAATGGCTGAGGACGAGGAGGAAAAGGAGGAGGAGGAGGAGGAGGAGGAGGAGGAGAAGGAGGAGGGAGGGAGGGAGGGAGGGAGGGAGGGAGGGAGGGAGAGAGGGAGAGAGGGAGGAGGGAGGAGGGACGCGCCCGGCAGCACCCGATCGAGGACGCGCCCTTCCGCCCGCCCACGGTGGGGGGGCCGTGGGCACGCTCGCCCTCCGGGGTCTCCGGCGGCAGGTCGAGCGCCTGCCGGGCCGGCGGGCACCTCCGAGAGGCCCCCGGGATGGGCCTGAAGTCGGGCCCGTCCCCCCCACAGGCGGATTTTGGGGGATGAAAAATGAGAAAATACAAAAAAGCAAAACAAAAAAAAACATCGAAACATGCGAATCGTCCCCAAGCTATGTTTCAAGACTGTGTTTGAACACTTCTCCTGTAGAGGGACAGGCCCGACTTAAGATTAGCCTCCAAGTAGGGGGCCACATGCGAACCCTACCCCTACCCCCCGCGATTTCTGAGGGGGAGGGTGGGGTTCACTTCGTTCGGGAGCTCCCAAGCGACGTGAACCCCACCCTCCCCCTCAGAAATCGTGGGGGGTAGGGGCAGGGTTCGCATGCGGACCCCTACCAAGGGGCACCCAAGGGGCCCCAAACGATCGGGGAGGCGCGGCACCTGCTTGCTGGACCCCCCCAGGCCAGGAGAAGGGGAACGCGAAAGGAGGAGGGCGCCGACGACGAGACGAAACGTGACGAGGAGGAAGAGGGAGGGAAGAGGAGGGCAGGGGGAGGGCGGATGAGGGGGAGAGAAGAGAGAGGACGAGGAGGGAGGGACAGGAGGAGTCCGACGAGGGCCATGAGCAGTGGCCCTCGCAGAAGAAGGCACGTCCCGAGCAGAGCAGCACGCAACACGACCACGACGACAGCGCCGACGCCGACGGCGACGCCAGCGCGCGCACGATCCGTGCCGAGCCACGGGCTCGCAGGTGGCGAAGCGCGAGGGAGAGGAGCCCTGCCGTCGTCATCTCCGGCGGCGGGGGTCCTCGACGTCAGCCGGTATGTACACGCTGCCGAGGTGGTCGTCCGACGAGTAGCTGTCCTGGAGGCCGCCGTGGCAACGCCAATCCCAGAGGCCACGCCTACTGGGTGCCATGCGGCCGCTTTCTTTACCATACATGCCTTTTTGAAATTGTCTTCCAAAATCTGCCTCTGGGATGACATGCCCGACCTAAGGCTAGCCTGAATAGAGGAACGACGAACCTCATAAACATAAGCGTTCGGCGCTCCCGCGCGGATTTCTTGGATCTGCGCTGGACCCCCCTCCCTGGCGCGCGGAGCTCGCCAGGGCGGCACCAGAGGCGTCGCCAGGGGGGCCCTCCTCCTCGGCTTCCCACCACCGAATTTGCACAAGCAGTGCCACGGCGGCGGATAAGGCACCGCTCGTTGCCCTCTCCCCCCCCCTCGCACACACACACACACCTCTTGCAGCGTTTCATCCTGTCTGTCCCCCGTCTGGGGAGGGGGAGGTTCGACGGGCGAGGAGGAGCGGCATGGTGGAACGCGGGAAAGGGGAGATAACATTGGGGGGATGGAGGAGGGAGGGGGACGAGCGGAAGGTAGATCAGGGTAGATCAGAAAAAGAAGCGTGTTGTTGTTACTGTGGGCCGCTGCCAGAAAAGCTTCCGAAGAGGTTGGCGGGCAGGGCGCGCAAATGAAGCATGCTCCCTCGCATCCCGCGAAGGGAGGGCGGTCCTTTCCTGGCGCCTGCAACCGCAGACCGCGCCAACAAGCGTCCCCTGGGTCCCCACCTCCCCGACGCTCAAGAGGCGGGGGGGGCGGGGCGAACCCAGAGGCGGCCCAAGCGAGAGCGCCCTCCCCAAACCCCGCAAGCCTAGACCGCGACCCCAGAGATCTGGATCGCGGTCCCTGCCGAATCCCTGGGACAGATCCTCTTCGACCTCTGCCCTCCGCTCCGCGGAGATGCCGCCAAGCGCGCGCTGCACGGCGGTCTGGATCGCCAGCGCCGCCGCGGACGAGGCCCCGCCCTCGGAGCACCCCACGACGGACTGGACGAGGCTATGCTGCTGGATGTTCCCCTTCTCCGCGGCGCCGTCTACACGGCCAGGCTTCCCTGCGCCGAGGCCGACTGGCGGCGCCAATTTCACCGCCGACTTGGCGACGCCGTCCAACGAGCCGCCCACATCGGCCGACTTCGCCCGCACCGTCGACTTCACCGCCGAGTTGGCGGCGCCCTCCGAGAGGCCCTCCTCCTCGGCTGGCTTGGCCCGCGCCTTCGACTGCTTGCCCTCCGCACCGTCGAGCTGCGCCAACTGCACCGCCGTCACCATGGAGCCACGCGAGAAGCGCACCTCCTCTGCCGACGCCGTCTTCACCTTGAAGAGCTTGCCGTCCACACTCTCAGGGTGCGCCAAATTCGCGTCCGACTTGGCGAAACCGTCCGACAACCTCGCCTCGCTGGCAGCCTTCGAGCACTCGGGCTGGGCCGACGTCGCCGCGGCCTCGGCGACGCCACTCGAGAAGTGCACCTTCTCGTCGGATACCGACCCCCCATTCAGCACAGGGTTGTCCTCCTCCGACTGGCACTGCTCGACAGGGCCGAGCTGCGGAACCCCTACAGCCCCAGGGAGCTGCAGCTCCCCCCCGCAGAAGTCAGAGACGTGCTCGATGACGCCCCCGTCGCGGACGAAGTATTTTGTTGTTCGTATACTCATTATTATTATACCTCTGGCATATTCGCACAAGCTCCAAACACGGCTTTGGCAAAAACTGTCGAGGCAAATCCTTGCCAGCTTGAGCCCCCCGTAGCGGACAACAAAAGCACAAAGACTCTTCTCCACTGGATTCGCCACACGACTAAACCAGCAAAAGGACGCCGATGAAGTAGTGCAAACCTTCGCCAATGACGACCCCGCCCTGACCCTCGTCCTGGCAGTGCCCGCGCCCACAGCCGTCCAATCCCCCTCGGCCACCTCTGGGTCGGTGTCGTGCCAGACGGACTCCAGCGCGCCGCCCGGGCCCGAGACACCCCTACGCCAGCCTGCTCCGACTGCGGCTGCGGCGCCTCCACTCCTGCTCGAGCCTGCTCTTCTCCTCCTCGCGCCTCTTCTCCGTCTTGGCCCTGCACTCCTGGCGCCTCCTCCTCCTCCTCCTCCTCCTCCTCCTCCTCCTCCTCCTCCCCCTCCTCCTCCGCCTCCCCCTCCCCCTCCCGCTCCCCTCCTCCTCCTCCTCCTCCTCCTCCTCCTCCTCCTCCTCCTCCTCCTCCTCCTCCTCCTCCTCCTCCTCCTTCCGTCTTCTCCTCGATCCATCCGCCTTTACCACGTCCTCAGTCCCCTCTACTCCCGCCATGCCTAGTCCTCCTCCGCCCGCCCCTTCCCCGCACTCTCTCTGCATCCACCTCCTCTTCCGCCCTGCCTCTTGCCCCCACTCCTCATCCCATGCCATGCACCTGAAGGGGCCCTGGGACACACAAATAAATACACACAAATAAATGGATTCCCCATATTTTCCTATAGTTTCTGGGTGTTTGTCTTCCCCCCCACTTCCCATATTTTCCCATATGTTCTGGGGAATCGACGATTCATTGTATCTGTGTGTTTCTTTCCCTCCTGAGCACCCTCATTCTCCCCCATCCTTCCTCCATATCTCCAAAGATAATCGATATCAATACGACTCGCCCCCCCCCCCAAAAAAAAAATGTGCGAACGGGGCGCGTGTCCTCAACATGAACACGGCTCTCCCCTCTCCTTCCCATACACCGCTCAGTTAGCGCACAGGAGTCCGGTATATGTTGAAATGATGCTCCACAGAAAAGGACCATTGTATTCGAATGAGGCTACAGCTGCAACGTTAGCCTCGTTTCAAGACAGATGCTCTCGCCCCAGCGCGGACCCTATTTCGAGATCCGATTCCCTCCTGGTCAATGCCGCCCTTCCCTTTCCCCTTTTCCGCCTCCCCCTGCTCTTTCTGCTCCTCCTGTCAGTGCTGCTGCTCCTCCTTCTCCTACCTTCTCTTCGTTGTCCGACTCATCCTCATGCTCTTCCGCCACACCCTCCTCCTCCTCCTCCTCCACCACCTCCTCCTCCCCCTCCACTTCCCCCTCCTCCTCCACTGTACAGGGCTCCCGTTTCTGAATGCGCACCACACGCTTGGGACCATTTGGGGGATCCACGTTCGCTAGGACATCGCTGCGAAATACACGTAGCGGGTAGAGACAAATCAGCGCAATGGGGAGGGATGGGTGGAACTGTATGTCAGAGATAAGCGCACGCACCTGGCTTGTCACCCCCCCTCCTACCTCTCCCCTGCTCCATGCGACCCATCGCCCGCCTCACCTAGTCGGCTCCCCCACTCCTCCCTCATCCCTTTCCTCCTCCGCTTCTACCTCGTGCATGATCCATCCTCCATCTTCCGTCGCTCCTCTCCCGCACGCACCTCATGCTTGTGCTCCTTCTCTCCTCCATTCTCCCTCACTCTTCCATCATTCCCTCCCTCCCTCCATCCCTCGTCCCCCCATCCTTCATCCTCGGGAAGTCCGTCTCCTCCTTCTCATCCTCCTCCTCCTCATCCTCCATCCTCGTCGACATCGCCGACATCCTCCTCCTCCTCCTCCTCCTCCTCCTCGTCATCCGCACCTGCCTGCTCCGAACGTGTCTGCCACCGTGGCCTGCCCAGCACGCTGAGGCGTGGTAGAAGGCATGGTGCTGTCTGGCAGGCCTTCTGCAATCTTCTGTGCCGACCAGCCACAACCGGAGGAGCTGTGGTCCTTACCCCCTGGGGGAACCCATCGCATCGACGATCTCTCTAGAGGGGTGTCGAAATCGATGGGTCCCCCAGGGGGGTTAAGGACCACAGCTCCCCCAATTGTGGCTGGCCTGCTATGCCAACCCGCTGTCCCAGCACGTCGCCGCGCGCATCGCCCCCACTCCCAAGGCTTTCTGGGCGCACCAGCGCTTCCCTTGTGCTCTCGCTCTCCCGGACGTCGAAGATGCCCACGATGGCTCCTACGATGGCCCCAAGCAAACCACCACGGCCGTCAAGACGGCCCGAGATGCCTCCAAGACGGCCCCATTTGCTTCCAATACGGCCCAAGAGACCACCCAAGACGGCCCAAGCGGGTTCCAAAGAGACTTCCTGGAGAGCCCGAAGAGGTCAAAATCATTGAGGCGTCTTAGGCTTATCTTCGTGCTCTCATCTTTCCGGGATCCCTTCAGCTCACGACAGCACAAGAGACCCTCAAGATGGCCCCAAGACATTCGAAGACGCGTCCAAGATGGGCCAAGAGGCCTCCAAGAATTGCTGCACACAGCCTGATACCCAATCCTTATACATGGCCCTCTTCCTTCGCATCCTTCCCCATGTGCTCGCTATCTTCATCCTCATCCTCCATCTCTTTCCCCCCCCCCCTCCGTACACCTTACGTGTCTACCCTGATCCCGCTCTCCAGTCTATCCTCACCGACCATCATCATCCAGTCGCCCGCCATCGTCTCGTCTCCTCGTTCCTCACTGTGCTCATCGTCCCTCCCATACTCTCATCATGATCCCTCTACCCCCGCTGCGCGCAAACATGGATTAGCGATCCATGGATTTGGCGCGCGGTCACCAAATCCATGGATCGGAAGAGGTGCCCTCCCCAAAATGCGGCCGGTGCCGACTCGTTCGGCGGCGAAAATCCGCGATTCCCATGGAAACTGGACCTGTCGCTAATCCACGCCCCCTTGACCCATGTTTGCGATCGCCTGCGTACCGTTTGCACCCTTCTTTCTCCCCCTCTCTCCACGTATCCCCCGCCACTCACTCGTCGTTCCCCTCGCCCTCGGCATTCAAGGAGGGGCGGCGAGCAGAGGAGCTCCGAGTCGAACACCGAGATCTTTACTTTCTGCTCCATGTTGAAGATCATGAAGTCCTGTCAA